GTCTGGAGTGAAACTCGCCTATCCTGTAAGAACGCCCAGTCCCCTGGGTCACACAGCTGCTGTGCTATTCCATTTCTCCCATGGGGGTTGCATCTATGTGTGGCTTGTCAGCTCTGTGCTGGGGGCACATGCACCAGTTAGCACAAGGCTCTCCATCCCTATGCTATAGACCACCAGCTCTCAAACGGGCTGCACATGGGAATCTGAGGAGTATTAAAAAAATATTGATGCCTGGATCTCATCCCAAGAGGTTCTAGTTTGATTATTCTGGGGTTTGGGCCTGGGTGTTTGGGCTTTTAAAGGCTCCCAGGTGATTCTAATGTGCAGTAAGGTTTGAGAACCACTGTTCTAGGCCAGGGATCAGAAAACTTTTTTTGTAAACGGCTGGAGAGTAAATATTTTTGGTTTTTTGGGCCACAACTACTTAACTCTGCAGCATGAAAGCTGCCAGAGAGAAACGAATGGGAATAGCTGGTTTCCAGTATAACTTCAGTTACAAGAAAAGAGAAGTGATCTAGAATTGACCCATGGGCCATACTTTGCTGACCTCTGGTTTCAATTGCCTTTACTAGTGTAATAGGTTTTTTTTTTACATATTTATATTTTCAGCCAAAGTAACCTCATAATATGATTTCATTCTGCTATGGTTGGATGTGATTCACATTTAGCTGGCGGGGATATAAAAGTGAAGCCCTAAGGTTCTATGGGCCACTCCATTCAAATGTCAAAGGAACTGTGGCCCATGAAACAGCAAAAAGGACTCTCTTTTGGCCTCCTTATCCAGCAGCAATGGTAAAGAAAAAAAAAATGGAAATGACACTAGCAAAGAAAGAAGAGGTTGTATTTTCCATAAATTGATCCCCAAAAATTCTTACCCTAAAAGAAATGTACGCTCCTAAGACACTTGCAGCGATGGTAGAGAACCCACAGGTCATGATCGCATGGAGTTCAGACCTGGTGGCATGTTGTATATACTGCTGAACCAGCAGTGGAGACTCTGTCTGGAAACAAAGAGTGACCAGATTAAATGTTCCCTTTTAAATCGTAGGAGGGCATGCCAATCTACTCAAAATTCCATTCTCTAAAGCTGTATTTCTAAGAGTGGACCTCAGACCAGCTCCATCAGCATCAACTGGGAACTCCTTAGACATGTAAATTCTCAGACTTACTGAATCAGAAACTCTGGGGGTGGGGCCAGCAATCCTTTTTTAACAAGCCTTCCAGGTGGTTCTGATGCATGCTGCAGTTTGAGAACCTACACCCTAGATGTCTGGGTCATTTGAACTCTAGGTCAGTGTGCACATAGAATCACGTGTAAAGTTTGCAGAATTTGCAAGGCCAATTCACATAAGACCTCCACTTAGCCTAGGACTGGACTCTGATGGCTGGGGACACTTTTCTAAGGTTGGAACACCATTGGCCAAGTAACTCTGCCCAGTGGCCTGGCCTTGAGAACTGGTGATTCTCAAGCCTCTGTGACTTCCTATCTTCCAGCTCGGGAAGACCCACCTTCCATCTTGACAGACCTTAAACGTCTTTGCTGACACCACAGGGAAATAGAGACACAAGCATAAAAAAAATAACAAGGACAGGTGCCCAGAGGCCTATTCCTAATTGAAAATCAGAGACCCCTTCTTCCGCTTGAGTGGAAAGGAATCAGAGTGTAGTTATAAAGGCTTGAGTGCCATCAAGGAGGACAGGCAGCCTGCAGCGTGGGGCTCTTCATAAATAATAGCTGTACTTTTAGCATATTAAGTATCAAATTGAGCATGTGTGCAATTTTACAATTTTCCCCTCATTATTCCTAATTGTTCTGTAAGATTGAATGTGTTGTGCTCAATTTATGGACTGAATAGAAATTTGATACATGAGACTTCTTACCCCCCAGGTAGGAGTAATCAACTCAAGATGGTGGCCTAATTAGTCCTGAGAGGTTTTATGACTATAATTATAATAATTTCAGCTCCTAGGGAAGGAAGCATAGGCCCTGCTGTAAAGACTATGCTCCAGGTTAGCAAGCTGGGCTGACCAATAAGAAGGCTCGGCCTGCCTGGAGCGATTGTAAGCCTGGGATTTGGGGTCTTGTGTTTTTCTAGGTGACTTTATTTTTGCTTCAAATCCAATTTCCTTGGGCAGCCATGCTAGCAAGCATTCACACGTGGTTTCCTTGGTATGTGACTCCATTCTGCCCGATGATGCATATCCAGAGTGACAAGGATGATTATTACTATTTCTTACTTATTCACCCCTTAGGAATGCTGCTATTTGAGAGACACCTCTTTGCTTAAATGGACATCAGAGAAAAGAGCATTTAACCATGTGATGGATCAGGGAGTGAAAATGCTTTTGCTCATCAGCATTGTTCTTCAGACTCAACAAATACAGACCATTGACCAGTTCAGACACATTAAGAATGAACTCAAGTATTTATACAGCTGCATGGCTGTTGGTGGGAAGCCTTTCCTGGTCTCTTTCACTGCCACAGCATTAAACTACAGAATGTGAGGCTGCCTGTTACATGTTTGCAGGCTCAAGACAAGTGCTGAACTCCATCTGAGTGAATGAGCCGCTAGCCTCTGAAGGGCAGGCCAGAGACCTCAGCAATTCAATAAATTCAGAAAAGATTTGTTAAGAATCTATACATGAAAATTCCGATACTTTGACACAATGATTCAATCTTTCATCCTCTCCATAAAATTTCAAGGACCCAAATGCCACATCAGTGCACTGAGACTCTTGGAAGGGATCTCTCTCTCGCACTCTCTTTTTCTCTCTCTCTGGAATCTGGACTTTGTCAATATTGAGCAGTCCTTATATTGACACTCTTCCCTCTACACTAAAAGAAATAAAACCACCATATTTTTTTATTCCACTTTCTGGAAAGAGTGTCCATTTCAGCAGGTGTTCTGTTCTGTTTTGTTTTTTGATGTTACAGCTTACCTGTCCGACAAATATGTTGCCAGCAGCAACTACAGATTCAATAGGAGAGGATCCCATAGTAACCAGCATGACCCATCCGACCTAAAAGAGGGCAAGGGACAAAGTCAGTGAAGAGCTATTTGTATACACAAACTTCAAAGAAGGGATAAAAATCTTTTGAGTAAGATGCCGAGGCCTTTAGCAATAGTTGGCAGGCCAGCAATGGTGCTGTAAGTATATCTTACCTAGTCCACAGAGCAGGCCAATCAAATCCTCCTATTTGAGTGGTAAGTCTGAGTCACTGTATATATTTTCAACATTACACAAGTGAGTTTCTATTGAAATGCACACTTGTATACAAGTAACAAGTTATAATAATCTTTTAATAAAATATAGGACATGTTTACTAATAGACCTGAGCATCTTTTAGTTTTTTTGCAATAAGCAGCCCAAAGTAGATTAACCTTTATCTGATATTTTATCTTAGTTAGAAATTATCTAGATATTCAATGAATTTTTTATCATTTAACTTAATCAAGTAGAACATCAAAGTTTTAACTTACCAAAGAGATTTAAGCCATTTGTTTTTAACAGTCTGTCTAGATTACTCACAAAAACTTACGTGACACCAAAGCAGTTAGCCATCATTCTAGGTTCTTTTAAGTACATATATTAGAACACATGATTATTGTTAAAATGTTCCCCCAAAACCTTTTACCTTTTTACATCTACCTTTTTACTTCTATTTAGTTTACCTGTTTGCAACAATTATTTAGATTGCCCATAAAAACTTTATGAAATATCAGACAAAATTAGCTATTATTTTTGTTGACAAATTCTGTAACAGAGACAAGGGTTTGTTTGACTCATAAGGCTATATGTTTACATTATATCCTATGTTGATAACTCTGAGGACATGTCTATTTTAATTAAACCAACAAGATCATTTTAGATCATGTTAACTTGAAAGATATCTGGCTAGTTTTGATCACATTTAGAAATAATTCATATAAGTGCTTATTTTAAGTCAATAAAATAGAGCTGTCTTTAGAAATATCATCTGGACACACATACATAGACGTGTAGACAATCACAAACAGAGATTTAAAAATTTTAGCCATGTCTCAGGCACAAAATTTAAAAGAATCATGGATCCAAATTGCAACCTGTTCAGATGGCTAAAGATTTTTGTTAAAGATCTTTTTTTTTGGTAAGGATCCTTTTTATAGCTGGTTTTTTTTTTTTTTTTTTTTTTTGTGAGGAGGACCAGTCCTGAGCTAACATCCGATGCCAATCCTCCCGTTTTTCTTGAGAAAGATTGGCCCTGGGCTAACATCCGTGCCCGTCTTCCTCTACTTTATATGGGATGCCACCAGAGCATGGCTTGACAAATGGTGCGTCGGTGTGCGCCCTGGATCTGAACCTGCCAACCCTGGGCCGCTGCAGCTAAATGTGAGCACTTAACCACTGTGCCACCGGCCCGGCCCCTATCGCTGGTTTTAAAGTCATTTTGTGGTTTAGAAGCTTCTGTATATTAATGAAAGAATGCATTCCATTGTGAGAGGTTTTGAATCCTCTTTTAAGGTGGACTTATCTGAAACAAACGTTCCCAAAAATGGGCATTATAGTTTTTAAATATTTTAAAAGTTTACTTATTTACTTATTTTCACTTGCTTAATTTCAGATCTGGAATTTGGGGGAAGCTGAAGTAGGGGAGCTCAGCAAGAGAGGAGGGAGGAACTGCAGATTTTGTTTTCTTTCACTAGCACGTTTGTTTGTTTTTGTTTTTGTTTTTGTTTTGTGAGGAAGATCAGCCCTGAGCCAACATCCGTGCTAATCCTCCTCTTTTTGCCGAGGAAGACCGGCTCTGAGCTAACATCTATTGCCAATCCTCCTCCTTTTTTTCCCCCCAAAGCCCCAGTAGATAGTTGTATGTCATAGTTGCACATCCTTCTAGTTGCTGTATGTGGGACGCGGTCTCAGCATGGCCGGAGAAGCAGTGCGTGGGTGGGCGCCCGGGGTCTGAACCTGGGCTGCCAGCAGCAGAGCGCGCGCATTTAACCGCTAAGCCATGGGGCCCGCCCCTTGATGCACCTCTTGATCGTCCTTTTTGTCTTCTTTCTTTCTTGGAGAATCCTGCTCAAGAGTGACCTGCTCTTCATCCTGGAAATCAAACATTGGAGCAGAGATGGAATAGTGAGAATCCTGGGCATAAAGGACCCTGGTCTCTTTTGCTCAGAATTTTGGCAAAGAACTTCAAAAGGTCCTTTTAAATCATTCTGCAAGAAGATGGCTCCTACTATCTACTGCACAGACATTTTTTCCTCTTGTCACAGAAAACCCAGATCACTCATCTCTTCCTTTACTTTCAAAGAGCCATTGGTATTATCTCCTTTTCTTTAGGAACAGGCTCGTATTTCTGTTTATTGCTCCTGTCTCTACTGTAATCATTCAACTGCCTCTTTGTTTTCAGGCAAGTGCTGAATGAAGTTAACACCGGAGGCTACATAATCTCCCTTTATACTCTGCAGGGCCTGGTTTCCAATATTTGCCACCCCAAAATGTGTCTCTTCAACATGAGGATTATTTTAGGCTGACTATTTTTAAGAAACAGAAGACTCAGAAAGTTTTTCTTGTTACCTCCCCCTTAACTGCCTAAAAGAATCCCGATAAAAAAACCTGTCTCAGGACATGAGTGATCACCTTAGAATAACATGAACTAGGTGGTAGACAGGGAGGAACCTAGAAAAGCCTGTTTGTTGGGTTCCCCTCTGTGTTATTCTGTTTCTGTGTGGCCAAATAAACACTTGTTTTCCAGACGTTTGCTCCTTTTCACCTACCTGTGAATTTCCTTCCTTCCCTGATTCTCCCCACCCCCAACATCTTCTTTTGTCTTTAGCTGAGGATTTACCTGATGATAGTTACTTGGGTTTCCTGGGTTTCTCCCATGTATGCATGTTATTAAACTTTGTTTGATTTTCTCCTGTTAATCTGTCACATGTCAATTTAATTCTTAGACCAGCCAGAAGAACCTAGAAGAGTAGAGGAAAATTTCTTCCTCTTCTGCAGAGACCAAAGCTGGTTTTATTTTCCTGGCAGCCCAAAGTTTGGTCTATATATGTGAACACTAGGTCAGCATCTTCAAGAACCAATAAACTCCTCTTGGGAACTAGGGTCCTTCTATCAGTTGGGCTAAAGGGAAATATTTCCCTAACTCAGCTGGCCCTTGCTCTAATTGAGTGAAGTAAATACCTGGGCCATCTTTCATGGACAATCTTTCTAGTATTGTTGGAGCCCATAAACATCTATGACCCATCCTATTCTTGGGATGGTGTAGAGGATTTCCTACCTCCCTCCATTCTGCAATAATGTCTCAAATAGGTCCAGCTATTGTAGGCAATGGCGAGGGAAGGTGGGGAGGAAGCATGCAGATGTGGAACAGTTTTGAACGTGCTCCAAGAGGTATAGTGCCAAATCTCGGCTTTAGTTTTCTGCCATTTCCCATGAGGCCTCTGATTCTCTTTAACAAAAATCATAGCAATAAGTCATTATCATGTCTCTGAGCTGAAGGGATCCTCAAAGATCATATAGTCCTTTGTTACCAAACTCCATTATACTTCTAACTTAGACTGCCTTCATTTTCTGGGCTGGGCCTTGGGAACTAGGAAGGTGAGGGGATAATTGAAAGAGAGACCAGCAGAATCCAAGCTGCAGCTGCTAAGGTTGGGGTAGAGACAAACCTTATTCATTTTTCCCCTGATAAATAAATGGCAAGCAATAGGATATATTGGAGCATATGAGGAAGCCATTTGGTGTAAAACTAACTTGGCCTGAGCTTCTTTTTCCAAAAGGGCCTGTGGCCTTTGAACATGCATTGTATATCTGCTTTAAGCATTTACCATGTCCCAAAGACAAGAACAAATGCCCTTAAGATAAGAATGCAACTTCCCCCACATTGGCATTTCCTTAAGGATAAGCATTTCTCCCTAGGCTAGGATTTGATTGGTGTGCTCATCCTGTGACCACTGAACTTGAGACAACAGACCTGCTACCTGCTGTGCCCACCAATCACTATGCCGGCAGGGCAATCTTGTGGCTGTTGTAAAAGGGACATTGCAATCATATGTGATACATGCTCTTTGATGGTATATAACCACACTGTACACCCCACTTCTTTGGTGCCCTTCCTTCCTTGGGGAAGGAAGGCCCTGGGTCCTCAAATTTGGCTCATAATAAACTCACCCCAATTTTGGTTTATAGGTTGATTATGGATTATTTGCATCGACACCCCAACACTTAGCTTGGCTGGTAGTCAAAGTCTGGTAAATTTTTGATTTAAATGATCATAATTATTATTTTCTTACAGTGAAATTGCCAACGTACCTACTATCTATGGAATGTCCAACATTCCTATTGTTTTCTTTTCTTTTTTTCCCAACTTTCTCATCTTTAAAACAAAACAAAACAAAACAACAACAACAGCAAAACCTTCTTGACCCCACAGTCGTGGACATCTGCCCTCCCTCCTTCCCTTCACAGCTAAACCACCTGAAAGAGTTGCCTTTACTTTTAGTGACCCACTCCCTCACATCATGCTCCCTTAACCCACTGTGATCAGGCTCCCACTGAGATGGCTTCTACCAGCATCACCCAAGGACCATTGTTGTCAAATCCAGTAGCTACTCCCCAGTCTTCATGTTTTTGTTTATGATAGTAAAGTATCTAATTTTTGTTTTTGATTTTTTTGTGAAACAATATTAAACAAGAAAAAGACTTTATTTTTTAGAGCAGTTTTAGGTTCACAGCAAAATTGAGTGGAAAGTAGAGATTTCCCATATATCTGCTGCCCCCACACAGGCATAGCCTTCCCCATTATCAATGTCTCCCACTAGGGTGGTACACTTGTTGCAATTGATGAACCTATATTGACACGTCATTATCACCCAAAGTCCATAACTTACATTAGGGTTCACTCTTGGTGTTGTACTTTCTATGAGTGTGGACAAATGTTTAATGACATATATCCACCAGTATAGTATCACACAGAGTAGTTCCACTGCCCTAAAAATCCTCTGTGCTCTGCCTATTCATCCCTCCCTCCCCTTTTGGTAACCACTGGTCTTTTTACAGTCTCCACAGTTTTGCCTTTTCCAGAATGTCCTATGCTTGGAATCATACAGTATGTAGCCATTTCAGATTGCTTCTTTTACTTAGCAATACATATTTAATGTTCCCTCATGTCAACAATACAGAGCGCCTCAGCCTGCTGTGTTAACTTAGGTGTCGCTGAGGAACCCTAGGGCATGATGGACACAGTTTTAGAACCATATCTTAGAATCTTCTTCATCTGCTTCATTTACCTTAAAATTGAGATGCTCTTGTTTAAGCCAGTGCCTTCGGCCTTAGGATGGAGCTTGGAATTTGTAATAGTGAGGTGTCAGAGGAGCCTCAGTACTCTCCCCATCAGAGAACTCTGAGGACAGGTATATAAACACAAAGTCTTTGTTTGGGCATGTGTGTTTTCTTCATGACTCTGCCTTACACACTCTAATTACTATTTAATTCATTCCTCTGAGTGCCAGCTGAGCGCCATGCTTTCTGTCCCTGTAGCTCTCAGGTGCCTGTTGCACAGCGGTCACCATGGTAACAGATTCACTCACCGCCCTCCAGCCCTACCTGTTTGGCGTTTCCCTGCTCTCTGTTCTGCACAGCTCTACTCCTCAGTGAGTTGTCCTTTTCTGATGTGTTCTGGTTTTCTTGAAAGTCATCTTCATTCTAAGAAAAAGTACAGATTACAAAAATAAAACTTCAGAACCAAAAAAAAAAATGTTTTTTTCAATGAATGATACCCAGAAGACTTTTGAGGGAGGGGACGGCAAAGACAAGGAGATTAGATGAGTCAGCTGGTTAAAGAAAGAACCACTGAATCTTGGCTAATAAAGACATATAGATGATTTTTGTTTTGTTTTGTTCCCTTAGAAAAGATTGGTGTGGTTCAACTTGAGGAAGAGAGAAAGGAGGACAATTGCCCTCATCCAGACCATAGGACTTTCTAATAAGCTGAGCTGAGACTAGGGGGCAGGTTTCTAGTCTCCTTTCTATCACATCACATAAGCTTTCCACTTATAAAATAAAACAAAATATAATAAACCCTATGCTGATAATTTTGTTCTTAGATGTTGGATTTAGGGATGTTCAAATGTGTTTTGTTTGGTTTAAAGCAGTCTCTGGTAGTAATGAGCATATGAAAAATACCTCCTCTTGTGAGGCTGGTTTTACTTTAAGGAACTGAGTGAGGTGTGCTCTTGGAGGGGTGTGCTGAGCCCCCAGCTGCTTTTTCCAGATGTGACAAACACCTGGCTCATTTCTCTTTTACTTTTTTTTGAAGGGGGTCCAATTCTTCTCCCATCTCATCCCAGCTTGCCTTTTTATAAGATACTTTTTATATGGCAACAGATAGATCAATGGTGTCAAGTAGGTCCCTATGTCTTTTCAGGAAATGTCCCCTGCTAGCCCTGTTGGCTGTGACCTTGTCTTTGAAAAAAGAACAAGTATATCACTTGATTTTAACTTTAGATCTCTAGCTGGTCCCAAGGATCTAGAAAAAATTGCAATTCCAACCTGTGTTGCATTTTCCATTTATTGAAACATGAGCGTATAAACTTGAATAAAATTTAACTTTGAGCACACACATGTGTGGGGGGGATCAGAATTGTCTCTCCCACCCAAAAATGTGTCTCTTTGGCTTGATTATTTTTAAGGATAAAAGACTCTGAAAGAAATTTTGACCTTCCCCCTAACTGCCTAAAAGAATTTAAGATAGAAGGTCTGTCCCAGGACAGGCCATCACCATAGATAACTCTGGGTGTGATAGACTGGGAGGATCCTTGCTAAGCCCGTTCTAATCAAAGTTCTCTCTCTCCGGGTCACATTGTCTATAGATGGCCCAGCAAACATCTGTTTATCCAACATTTGCTTTTCTATCTCCCTGTAAATTGCCTTCCTCCACTTAGAAGTCCCAAACCACTACTCTCAATGTCCTCCTTGGTCTTTAGCTGAAGACAGTATTTAAGGTGGTGGCTTTGGCCATTTTTGTGAGTTGCTCAGTTTTCCTGGGTTTCTCCCACGTATACATGTTAGTAAACTTTGTTAGATTTTCTCCTGTTATTCTGTCTCATGTCAATTTAATTCTTAGACCAGCCAGAAGGACTAGAGGGTAGAGGAATAGTTCTTCCTCCCCTACACACATAGAAGTCTTGTTGCCAAACTGCCCTTTTGTGTTACAGTTGTGTACATCTTACTTTAGTACAGTTCCTCGCACATGGCAGACACTAACAATTATTTGTTGAATTAACGAACCACAGTGATTTCCATGTTGCACTAACTGGTACAGCAATGTAGTACCTCTGGGTACTTGGTATAGAAATATAGTAGAAAGGGACAATATAGATAGTATGGAAAGATGACAAAAGTGTTGCTAATTGCTGAATCTGGCTGATGGATACTTAGGGACTCATTTTACTATTCTTACTTCCATGGATGCTGAAAATTTCCTTAATAAAAAGTTAAAAATAAAACCCAGCATGAGCTGGTAGAAAACAGGACACAGGTAACGAGGGGGCTGGTCTGCAGGGTCCCTAATGACATGTGTGATGTAACACATGCCTCATCTTTCTAAGCGTCAGCCACCCACCTACACAGCAGTTTCCATTTGGTGCTCTTACGGTCCCTTCCAGAATCCTGACATTTTCTGGTTCCATGAGGAGCTTTAGTTTCTTGATGCTGATTATTCCTGCCACCTGGTGGCAGAATCTGAAACTTATTTGTGGAACACAAGCATGGAGCCTGCCTTTATAAAGTTAATAAAAGAGGAAGGGCTTCAACAAATGGTGTGGGGAAAACTGGACAGCCACGTGCCAAAAAAAGAAAATAGACCATTACCTTACACCATACACAAAAATTAACTCAAAATGGATTAAAGACTTGAATGTAAGACCTGAACAACGAAATTTCTAGAAGAAAACATAGGCAGTATGCTCTTCGACATTGGTCTTAGCAATATATTTTCAAGCACCATGTCTGACTGGGCAAGAGAAACAACAGAAAAAATAAACAAATGGGACTACATCAAACTAAAAAGCTTCTGCACAGCAAAGGAAACCATCAACAAAACGAAAAGACAACCTAACAATTGGGAGAAGATATTTGCAAACCATACATCTGATAAGGGGTTAATCTCAAAAATATATAAAGAACTCATGCATCTCAACAACAAAAAAACTAACAACCCAATTAAAAAATGGGCAAAAGACCTGAACAGATATTTCTCCAAAGATATACAGATGGCCAACAGGCACATGAAAAGATGTTCAGCATCATTAATTATCAGGGAAATGCAAATCAAAACTGCAATGAGATATCACCTCACACTTGTCAGAATGGCTATAATTAACAAGACAGGAGACAACAAGCGTTGGAGAGGATGTGGAAAGGAGCGAACTCTCATACACTGCTGGTGGGAGTGCAAACTGGTGCAGCCACTATGGAAAACAGTATGGAGATTCCTCAAAAAATTAAGGCTAGAACTACCATACAATCCAGCTATTCCACTGCTGGGTATTTATCCAAAGAATGTGAAAACACCAATGTGTAAAGATACACGTACCCCTCTGTTCATTGTAGAGTTATTTACAAGAGCCAAGACGTGGAAACAACCTAAGTGCCCATCAAGGGAAGAATGGATAAAGAAGATGTGGTATATATACACAATGGAATACTACTCAGCCATAAGAAACTATGAAATCCAGCCATTTGTGACAACATGGATGGACATGAAGAGTATTATGCAAAGTGAAATAAGTCAGAAGGAGAAGGTCAAATACCATATGATCTCACTCATTAAGTAGCAGATAATAACAACAAACAAACACATAGAGACAGAGATTGGATTGGTGGTTACCAGAGGGGAAGGGGGGAGGGAGGAGGGTGAAAGGCATGGTTAGGCACATGTGTGCAGTGATGGATTGTAATTAGTATTTGGGTGGTGAACATGAGATAATGATGTAATCCATGCAGAAACAGAAGTATAATGATGTACACCTGAAATTTATACAATGTTATAAACCAATGTTACCACAATAAAAGTTAAAAAAAAAAAAGATGAAAAGAAAAAATAAATAAATAAAGTGCTACTGCAGCCAATTGAACTAAGTTCCTGTACTGCTTTTGGCAAAGTGTGCTTCTCCCATTTGTGCATCAATGAAACATATTCATGAAGTGTTAAATTATTCTTTGCCACGTGTAACAAATACAGTCAAGATTATTTTATGTAATGATTTTAATCAAGGTGATTCTAAAAGATTTCAAGAAAGAATGAATAATTGTAAATAAAATATACCCAACAATGAATGCAAAAAATAAATAAAAAAAGAGGAAGGGGTGTGTGTGTGTGTGTGTGTGTGTGTGTGTGTGTTGGGGGGGAGGGTAAAGTGGGCGTAAGTGGTAACAAGAGCACCCCTGGATGTATTTTGTAACATGGAATGGGATTGTTTTACCCCCAGTAGAGTACACGCCTTGGCTTTTTAGCATTTTCAGGAAGAACAATGTTTTCTATTTGAGGATTTCCAACAGAAATAAAGGAGGTGTTGTGGGTGTTGATTTGTGCCTGAACAACGATTATTAAAACACTTACTTCCCTGCTTCTTTTCAAATGGGAGTCATAGGGCCAGAATTGGTGGTCTATATTGACTTCTTAGTGCATTGTTTCCTTCCATCTATTTAGCATTTCTTCTTACTAGATACCTTAGTACACTGAACTACACCCGTGACCTTGTTCCATATGCAAGCCTGTCGCTCCACCGAATGGGTAACAACGTTGTGGGTGTTGTGTATGGGTATTTCTAGGCAGTTTACAGCACGCCACTTTTAATTTCCCCAGTGAGCATTAGTTGCTGCGTGTACTCAACCTTGGATTGAGACCCCTCTGAGGGGTAAATCCTTGAGCCAGGAGTGCATTGTGCCTGGGGTTTGATCTTGCACTTTCCAAGCTGCTCGAGTAAGTGCAGATCCACAGTGGGTGTTACAGGGAGTACAGATGGCCAGAGGTCTTTTTCTGAATTTCTTCCTTTCATTCAGTTTCTAAACCATGTAACTTCTAGAACATAAGAAATTACTGAAATCACTCCCCCTATCTATTTGTGGCGTCCCACTCGATAGAATTTTAGCTGAACACATGGCCACCCAGAATAAAGGCTACGTTTCCAAGCTTCTCTTTCAACTAGATTGTGGCCCATGAAATGCGAACAGAAGTGGAGCCCTGAGTGGGGCAGCTTGGGGACACTCCTTCAGAGATGGGTGCTCTTTGTCTCTTTCATCCTTTCCTCCAGCCTGATGCCCTGGTACATGGATGGTCCCAGCTGGGCCATGAGCACAAGGTCCCTGCCCTGGTGACGTCACAGTGGTGAGATGGGGGGACTCAAGTCCCGAAAACTTTGAGCAGCACTTCCCCTCTGGGTCTGTCCTTCCACTGCCCGACTTTTATCTGCAGGAAACAGACTTCTCTCTTGCTACTTTTGGTTTTTGCTGTTATTTGCACCTGGACTGGTACAATATTTAGTAGGCACAAAACACTGGGTTAAACCCTTTAAAAATTCTCTATTTGACCCTAAGAGGCCTGTGAGGTGGGTGCTGTGATCTCCATTATACAGATGAAGAAACTAAGGCAAAGCTAAGCAATCACTTGACTCAGGTTGCACAACCAGGAACAGCCGAGATGGGATCTGAACTGGGACTGTCCCACCCCAGACTGTATCCTGCCTGTCGTGTTTGGCCCTTGGGCCAAGACCCTTTGGCCTTGGGAATGTCTAAGGATGTAGTAGCACACCTACAGGTTAAATTCCCTTTCAATGAAGAAAGCTGATTTGAATTCTAGATACTAAAAGACAAGAGTAGAAATGACAGGGTGCTAAAATATTCCTAAAATGCTTGTGGCCACTTTTAATCTCTATTTGGGCTCTGGTGGTCATTTATCAAGCCAGAATAGTGGCCCTCCCACCCAATAGACTGGTTTTAAGTAGATGCTATCCTTTAAATAACATGAGTGGTAGGGGCCGGCCCTGTGGCGTAGTGGTTAAGTGCACGCGCTCCGCTGATGGCGGCTGGGGTTGGGATCCCGGGCGCGCACCTGATGCACCCCTTGTCAGGCCATGCTGTGGTGGCGTCCCATATAAAGTAGCGGAAGATGGGCAAGGATGTTAGCCCAGGACCTGTCTTCCTCAGCAAAAAGAGGAGGATTGGCATGGATGTTAGCTCAGAGCTGATCTTCCTCACGAAAAAAAATTATATAACATGAGTGGGCACTCCTTCAATTGTGGACATGTCTTGTCTCCATTATTAGTTTGATGTCTTTTCTTCCAACTGTGTCTGCGCCACCCACTCCACCTCTCCCTCCCCCTGTGGCCCTGATTGCACAACGTGGCTTCCATGTCTCAGTTTTCGTGGCCGGGGTTTCTCTGCTGCAGACTCGACATCACTGCACCAGGGAGGCCTTTTCTTCTATCTTCTTTGTAGGAACTGCTCTGGCCCGGCGTGCTTTGACCGTGGGACTGGCCTTGCTGAGGGGGCACAGCCCGGCTTTGAGGCCTGGGTGAGAACAGACACCGTCACCCCGAGGAGACTTTCATCCTGACCTTTGGTGGGGTGGAGATCATGTAGGTTTATGGGACGATGGGAATTGCCCAGCAGGCAAACGTGATGTTGACAAGGACCCCGAGGAGTCGCTATGACGATCTTTAACTGGTTCTAGAGCCTGACACTCACATAGTCTTGCTAGAAGCAGTCAGTGTGGTGCATTCTGAGAAGGGGTGATGCCTTAAATGTCACCACAGATGTCAAAGTCCCAACGCCTGTGACAAAAATGGGCCTGTGATGATGTCAGTTGGACTTGGGACTGTGTAAATCTATACTGTACATTTATACCCACTGGGGTCTAAGTGGGGAAGCCAGATACTCTGTCCCGTGAATACTGTCTGCTGAATACCATGTGCATAGCACAGTGCCAGGCACGGATGTGCTCAGTAACCATTTCTGAATGGATGGAGAAGGTATTCCTAGGGGCTGTTGAGCTGATCATAGTAGCAGTTAAAACAGTGTCTCTGTAACTAAGTAGAGACCAAATAGTACAGGAGAGCTTTCTCTACTTCTCCAAGACAGTTACCTTATGTTCTAATATTCTAAGCCTTCAGTGCCCAAATGAAGGTGTCAGAAATACATCTCCTGTTTCTGTTCTTTTTCAGAGATTCTTTAAGTGATCTTTCTGTATCCATTTCTCTAAGCACAAAATGGGTCTAGACTAGAGCAAGTGCCTCAAATAGTAACTTAAAATTCGAAAATGCAATACAAATAGATCATAGAAAGTGGCTCATCATAAACCTGAGGGTGACTGCTTTTTGGAATATTGATAAATTATCTATATTAATTGGTATTCTGTTATTATGAAAAGCTTGGGTTCCATTGGTCCCACCTGGGTTCAAATCCAGCCTTAATTTCTTGAGGCGCCATACCCTGCTTCATGGGAATGTCAGATTCCTCACCTACCTTGTGGGGCCGTGGGGCTGTTCTAGCGCCACATGTAGTGAGTGCTCATTGACTTTTATGTTGATTGTACAGTTTAGGTTACTACTGGTTTCCTTGTCCTGGAGCATTTACAGTCACTTTGTTCTCTGTTGTTGAAATTTGGCTTGTAAAAGTGAACCTCTGTTTCATGAATCTGATCTCTTCAATTGCTTGAGATCATTCCTCTCTCTCTCCTTTTTTCACCTTTTTACTTTTAAACTCTACAAATGTCAAATATTTTAAGGCCATTTCTCTATATTTTCCTCCAAATTGCATGGGCTTTGCCTTGGAACAAGTGCATTTTCAAAGGTGGTGTTCCTGCAGCCTTTGAGCTTTCCCATTGCTCCCAATCCTCCTGGCTCCTGTAACTTCTGCCTCAAGTCTTGGGTTTAAGGGATCCTGGATGTGAGTTATGGGCACTGGCTAGACCATTCTTCCATGAGATGTTCCTGTTTTTCTTGCTGGCCTGGTGGGTTTATAGACTCAGTAAGGAACAGCAGTGTTGTGGCAGGAAACCACCTGGTCAGCCTGGGGCTCATTGTCACACTTCCCTGATGCAATTCTCTGTCACCTCTGAGTGCCCTGAAGGGAGATTTGAATTTGGTGCAAGGAGTCAGGGTTACAGAACAGTGATAACATTCTCCCCTTATGATCTTTGTGAGCCAGGGGCAAAGGGAATCTCTAAGTATAGGATGTAAGGAAAAGGGGAAAGAGGCAGAGCTCTGTATCTAAAGGAGAAAAGTTAGACAAGGCTTATAATCATCAGATTTACAAAAATAAATTTAAGCATGCAAGTACTCATAGAAGATTCTTTCTATGAGCTTTGTTGTAGAAACTACTTGAGGAAGAGCTTCAGCCAAACAAATGATAAATGGAGAAGTTATGACAAAAGGAATGATAGTATGTTTTGAATCTATTTAATAAATTTAAATCTAAAACAACTCCAGGGATGCTAATTCCAGAACAAATTATAAACATAACGCCTGACAATGTAGAAAAGATAATCAGAACACTACTTGAAGGAGAAGGAAGAGAAAATGTAGATGGTAGGGTAAATAGACCAGTTTCCTCATATTTGAATTTCTAGGAGCTGAAAGAGATTATAAGTAATAGTGTTTAAGGTAGAAAGGTAGACACTCAAAGATACATATTCAGCTAAAATTAAGTGGTAGAAGAGAAGGAAAGAAAATAATGGAAAGTGGAAAATATGCTAATTTTGTGATTACTACTCATAACCTTAAGCTGGTTATGAAAGGAACCATTAAAACAAAACAATACAAGTCTTCAGAAGAAACCAAACAAAAATGAAGAAAATGCAAACCATACAATGGAAAGATTTTTAAAATGCACAACATAAAATATGACGAGAGGAGCTAGGAACAAACAAGTATATCTGGAAAATCAGCAATGGATTTGATGGAGTCAGATGGAATAATAAACAAACACAGCCATAGACTGAAAATGACTCAGAAAGGTAAACCTGCAGGGGTCATGATCTCAAGCAACCTGAATATAGGACCAAAAAAGCAATTGTGTCCAAAAAGAAGCAATCGTCAGAGTACGATCTCACACTCTGAGAAGCATGGCTATCTATGGACAAATGGCGTAGATTAACATAAAGGAAAGATAAGAGAAATATCTAGAAACTCATTTGGAAAGAGGTTGGGAGAACCTTTCGGTCTATAACAGATCGAGTGGGCAAAAGTAAGGATAAGGGAGACCAAGATAAATAATATGAATTTAGTGAACATCTATTGAACTCTGCAACCCAAATAGAAAATGTACCATGGCCGAGACTGTTAGCTGTCCCCAGTACCTCTTCTTCCCCATTTCCTTTAGAAAGAGAACTCTGAATTTTAGCAGGGTCTGAGATTTTCCAGAATAAAGGCACATTTCCTAACCTCCCTGTGGCTGTGACTATGTTCTCCACCGTGACGGAGGAGATGTGCAACTTCTGGGAAGTGTCCTAAAGCAGGAGGAGCCTGTGGCCCCCTTTCAGATGTTTTAAAATACGTAGAACTAAATATATATGATTAAAAGGAAAACAATTACATTTAAATACAATTATTAAAATATTAAAACTAATTTGTGATAGAATAACGTATACGCAGCTTTATTAACACATCAAAAAACAAGAAAAAAAAACCAACAAAGTCCAGTGGGAAGTTCTAATAACTACCTTAATGTCAAAGCCACGGACGTAAATGATATTTGGAGATATTTGCAACAGATATGAATTCTTTTTCCCACTTGTATGTATTAACTCCATGTAGTGAGGGTCCTTTCGCATCTTCACATCCATTTCACACGAGAAGTTCTACATCCTCTTGGTCTGTGGAGTGGAATGTGCCCCTTTCCCCTCAGGCCCCTGCCCTTCCCACACCTGAATGTATCTCTTAGTTATGAATCAGCTATGAATAGATACGTCTGGGACATTATGGACCTTTTTTCTTATTTGTAATTGGATATCTTGGTTTCACTTCTGGATCCATCCATATTATCATCCAGTAAATCTACTCGTAGGGAAAAGCAAATAATCCCCAGGAATATAGGCTTTAGCATCATGTTCATATAGATTTTTGAAATAAACAGCACATGAATGATGTTTAAGCATCTTGCATTTTAATTGTCTCTGAGGCTGATGTCATATGATTTATCTAAAAGTGGTCATTTTTTCCATCAGAATTCATCAGAGTCCTGGGTGATATTTAGAAGATGAAATGCAGATTAGCTTTCAATGTTAATTCTGGTGCCAGAATAGACAGGCTCCTGTAGGCTGGACACCAGTGGTTGCTGCGTGAAATGTCCACTTGGTGGCCCCACTCCCTCTAGGCTGTAAGATACACCTGCCGTGAAGGCCAAGGCTTGGCCCCACTTCTGATTCTGGCGGTCTGTCAGCTCTGAAAGCAGGAACCTAATTAAAAGCAATAATAGGCTAAACCACAGCCTCAATTTTAACTAAATGTTTGCTTCATATATTGTCTGGGGTGGTTATATCAAATAAATAATTCAATTTTTGTCAAAAAGAATTCTGAGACCACTGGCGAAGACTGGGAAAAATGGAGCATCAAAAAGTCAAAAAAATGAATAATATCTGCAACTTACTTGTGTCAAAAAATAAGATGGACTGATGGGTGGATAGAGGGTAGCAAGGATGAATAAATAAGTGAGAAAGCAAGTATAGTGAAATATTAATTGCAGAACGTGGGTAGTGGGGATATAAGTGTTCACTATGAAATTCTTTCAACTTTTCTGTGTATTTGAAAATTTTCATAATAAATTGTTGGAAGAAACAAATAATGTTGGTAATTGATTGTAAGAGATCGAATAAAAGAGAATGTTATTCCATAATGATACTCAAAAAGAAAGAGAAAGATGAAGAAAAGGGAAATCTATTCTTTTCAGAAGAATATGAGGTAAGGAATGTTAAAGAAATGAAAATCATCATTTTGCAGCTCTCAAAATAATAATTAATTCAGGAAAGTGTCATCAATGGATGCTAAAACCGTTGGGTGAAATGTGTTGGGGAACTGGATATTCACATAGCCTTGAAATATCAGTGGTTACTTACTAATTAGAAAGAGAGAAATTTGCTTTTATAATGGAGTGGTCTGCTAATCACCACCCTAAACCAAGTCAAGACCAATAGTGGAGTTAAATTTCTCCAAATCCACTTGTGTATATTTTTTAATTTCTTTTTTACATGCAGAGTTTCCAGAACTTGGGCTAGCTAAAAGTCATGTAAATGTAGAATCATACATTCCAAGGCATCACTGCCCCCCTCCTGCTCGGTTGCCTTGCACTCTTATGGTAGCTTTTGATATGTGTGCTGGTAATTTGAGTTTGATAACGTGTGATTATTTCAGCCTGGCTCTAATTTTCTGTTATTGTTTCTTGCCTTTCTTTGATTTAAGCTGATTTGTTTGAATAGAGGAAGACATGCCCAGAAGAACTTCTACTATATATTTGATAGAGAGAAGACCAGAGAAATCTCAAGACACCCAGGGAGAAGCTAATCCTGAGAGCAATAATATGGCAATGCCTGGACTCCCGACTCAGGCCAGGACTGGGCTCTGCGCTTCCCCACACACAGCTTACTCAACCCCTCCTTCCCTTGATTCTCGAAGATTTGCATTTTTATCAATTTTTTATTGCCTTGAAGCCAAGAATTCATAGATAAGCATCCTTTCTCTTCCCATTGGAAAACAATCTTCTGGGCCGGCCCCGTGGCTTAGCTGTTAAGTATGCGCGCGCCACTACTGGCGGCCTGGGTTCGGATTCCAGACGCACAGCGACGCACTGCTTCTCCGGCTATGCTGAGGCCACATCCCACATACAGCAACTAGAAGGATGTGCAAGTGTGACATACAACTATCTACTGGGGCTTTGGGGAGAAAAAAAAAGGAGGAGGATTGGCAATAGATGTTAGCTCAGAGACGGTCTTCCTCAGCAAAAAAAGGAGGATTAGCATGGATGTTAGCTCAGGGCTGATCTTCCTTACAAAAAAAAAAAAAAGAAAACAATCTTCTATCTTCACTTACTGGTTGCTATGGTCTGAATGTTTGTGTCCCCCCAAATTCATTATGCTGAAATTCTGACCCCCAAGATGATGGTATTAGGAGGTGGGACATTTGGGAGGTGATTAGCCCCTGAGGGTGGAGCCCTCATGAATGGGATTAGTGCCCTTATAAAAGAGACCCCCACAGAGATCCCTAGCCCCTTCCACCACATGAGGACACAGTGAGAGTAGGCTGGCTGTGAACCAGGAAGAGGGCCCTCACTAGAATGTGACCATGCTGGCACCTTGATCTTGGACTTCTAGCCTCCAGAACTGTGAGAAATAAATATCTGCTGTTTATAAGCCACCCGCCTGCAGTGTTTTGTTATAGCAGCCTGAATAGACTAAGACACTGGTTCCGTTTCTTGCCTCATACGCACTCTTCAACCCATTCCAGGATGGTTTCCACTTCTTCCCCTCCAGGAAAATCATTCTTGACAAAGTCATCCGTGGTCTCCACGTCCCTAAATCCAGTTTTCATCATACACAGTGGACCACTGCCTCCTTAGAATGTTCCTGTCCCTGACTTCTGTGATAGCACACTTTACTAGTTTCCTCCTGCCTCCTGGACTTCTCCTTCTCCCTTTCCTGTACCATTTCAACCTTTGCACTAAACCCTTAATGTTATACAAGTACACTTCCCTGGGGCTCCATCCCAGGCATTCTCATTCGTTCCTCTAACAAATATTTATTGTGGATATACTGTGGGCTAGACACTGTGTTGCTTGGTGGGCATTGCACATGTGGTTCTTGTCCTCAGGGAGTTTAGAGGAAAAGCTGTCAACCATAAATTATACAATTGGTTATTTAATTATAGTCGTGATAAGGACTACTAAAAAGTTCAAGATAGTACTTCCATAGATTAATTGGAATAACTTGGCTGTGTCTGAAATTCCAAAGATGTAACCTGTTTAGTCCTGGGAGCATTGGAACGGCTCTTACCAGCAGAACCTTTTCCTACAGTTGAGAAAAAAATTAAGAAACAAGGATATAATTCCTTGAATCTATCAATCAAAACTAAGATTCTCCCCAGTTTCATTTCCTTCTCTGATTTGTTTTTAGCAGACAAATCTCCACTTTGTCTGAAGGGATCAAAATTCAGGCTGCAAGGTGACTATAGATTGGTTTTTGTTCATAAAAACTTTCACCACGGGCCCATCAGGCCAGCAGTGGGAAGCCTTTTTCCTGTAGGGCTTCTGATCTTTAGTCAAAGGTCAAGAGATTAAGAAACATTATATGCTCTCTAATATTTACAATGTACAAAAAGATATGAAGAATATAATAACACCTGCCTGTGAAGCAATTTGATAAGATAAGTCACTAAATGGTTTATTTCTAAAATTAAGAGCAGGAAACATGGCTTCAGATCTTTCTTAAAGTCTATTATTGGAGTAAGACAGAATAAGAAGGAGGAAAACGGAAATAGGGAGGGAGAGACACAGGTGGTGTCAAGAGACATTGGATGTCATTAACGATGCTTTCATCTTGTAACTTCACGTTGTATCCTCTTGAGTAGCCCCTAAGCTATTCCAAATCCTGCTTTGCTTTTGCCATCGTCCTCTTGTGCAGTGGGTATCACTACTTGGGACCTTCTTGCAAGTTCAGTGACATTGACCTCAAGCCTACATTTGGTCCATGCTGCAGCCACACTCCAGCCCTGTTTATGTAAAGGTGCTTTTATGCCAAAGCCTGAATCACCTGCAGGGTGAAGCCTGGGTTGGTTGTGCTTACCTTACCCTTGGGCTATCTTGCGGAGTTATGGTCACTTCTGTAAGTATTAGCCTTACTATGAACTGGACTATTTTATGCCAGAGCAGTTGATAGTGAAGCACTTAAAAAGGCTACATCATTATGTCAGAGGCATTTGCATTTGCTCACATTAGGAAAAAAGTTGCTTTTTGGTGATTTCTAAAATCACCTTGGCCATCAAGCATTTCTTTCCATAGAGTGCTGACTAAATAAATGTAAATTAATTAGAAACACTTAGAATAAATTTACAGTATATAAAAATTTTTTAAGAAATGCATTTGACTAAATAAGTGGATCAGAATGAACCAAAATGTTTGAAAATAACTCTATGAAGTCCTTTGAAGTGACACAGATGTTGGGAGCTGAGCTCCCCGAGTCTGGCAGGGACCTAAGGGACTTGAGGTTTTACATTTGGCTGACATGATAACAATTCAAAGCTGCATATTGACATCTCTCATGGTTTTTCCATCAGTGGATTCCAGTATTTTCTATTAGAAGAGGCAAACTTCACACCTGAATTTCAAATTTTTGTTTGGTCTGCACCAAAATAGCATCCCCCAACTAAATGAATTGATTGGCAGTTGCTGACACTTGAGCAAGTGCTAGGTGCCATCCCTCACACATTGGAGTTGGTGACCAGAACTTTTACATACCATCTTTTTAAAAACTTCCTTTCAAAGGAAAAACAAAGAACAATTAGGGGTGCCAAGACTATAAGTGGCTTCTGAGTCGAACACCTTAGCCCACATGTGGAGGGCAATTAGCTGCCTCCAAATCTGGATCCTGTCTTTGAGCAGAAATCATGCTGCACCATGTCTGCCTACATCTGCAATCTGAAGACAGAGTTCCAAACTTCTGTGGCACGATAGAGACTTGGGGTTCATACTCACAATTCTCTGTTCTGTATAAAATTCCAAATACTCCCAACTTTGATTTTTTCAATTTGATAAATAATAGTTTAGCCATCAACCACGGCTCAGGTCTCATCAACATCAACAGTGTCTGGAGGAGATGGGTCAACAGGTACCACCACCCTCATTTTAAATTGAGGGACTGTGGAGTGGAAATTTTATAATCAGTAGTGAAACAAACAAGCAAACAAACAGCAAGAGCCTGGTTACCAGTCTTGGTTCTGTCATAACTGAGATAAGAGTATTTTCCTGAAAAACTCTGCTGCCTACCCTCTGCAGGTTGGGCATGTGCTTGCAGAACATATTGCCTTATAAGCCAATTGAAACTGGTGTTCTCATGGCTGATCAGGGGCTTCCAATTATTACTGACATGACATCTGCATGGAAATCCATGTAGGACCAGAGATGGATAACAAACCAGATCTCACTCCATGCAATCAACATGTAGAGTCTCAAAAGAAGCCTCTTAGAATCACGAGGGCATCTCTCTTGGGACATTCATGGTCGAAAAATATAGCATTTAATCTCCCTCTTCTCCTTTCCCTTTCCTGTGACCATTAGACACCTGAATTCTTTCCCCAG